TTGTTTAAATAATGAGAAACTTGTGTTTTTAGAAACACTGTGTAGGGTGCAGCATCCTCTCATTACAAACATTTCTGTGCCTCAGAGGACACCCCTCCTGATATGTATCCTTAGGAGGAACACATAGATCAGCCTCTCTTCCTTTTGTCCAGCTGCAGTACGGGGAATGGAGACACAACACGGTCAAGGTGCCTAAAACCAGAGCGGCCTGGGGTGAGTCTCACCTTAATCCTCCCCATACTGTCCTTTGTCAGACTCCAGCATTGTGCACAGCTTGGTCTCTGGGAGCTCAGGAATTTGGGCACTTTCTGAAAGCTTCCTTTGCAGGCGCTCCTGGAAATCGGACCAGTGTTTAAGCATGAGCTAAAGCAGTAACATCTGTCAGACATAACCATGCATTATATCTGGGACAAAAAGTTTTAGGAGGAAAAATGCCTGTTAGGAGTGTGGGGTAACTGCAAACCCGCTTTTTGACTGGTGTTTTACTGTAGAGATGGGAAATGAATGGGGCTGATATCCACATCTACTGGAATGGGACTCCCTGAGCTTCCAGCCTTCTGTGGTCCAGATTTTCGTATTCCTTCCAATTTGCCCAGAGCAAGCTGTGACCCTCATCCATCTATTTTTTTTCTTTTGCATTTAACAAAGTTGTAAAGGGATTTATATGCTTTCCATTAGTCTTAGCAAAACTACTCTCATGAATATTTAATGGCTAGAGCAGTTTGTTTTCTTTTACTCTTTCCCAGCCTTCCCTCCACCCCCAGCTCTCCCTTCTCCTGCCTGGAGAAATGTAAATATCGCGCCCCTCACCCACTGGCTGGATCCCAAAGCTCTGGGCTCCCTCAATTCAATGTTCTCACCCGTCTGGTGGGGACTTTTTTTCCCCCTCCTCTCTCTCTTGTAGCCTCCTCTCCAGGCAGCCAGGGTGGTGGTCGCGGTGCGCGGGGCCGGGCACGCGTGGGGCTCTGCCTGTCCTGGCCCCCGCGCCCTCTCCCTGCCCCGCAGCTCCGCAGCCGGAACAGACGGTCCTTTGCTTTGAACTTCACGGGAACAAAAAAGCTTCCCTGCAACTTAGCTGGAGCTCCCTCAGAGGCATTCCTGGCACTTCACGGGTCACTGGCCTCTTTCTCTTTGCGACAGGAAAGGGGCTAATGTCTGGGACAGAAAATGACTTCTGAAGACACGAAAAGATTTACGGTGTCTAGAGCAACCTCTGAACTTTTGTCGTGGTGATCTCAGAAAAATGCATTTTTTTGCTATTGGTTGCTTAGATCGTCTGCCATCCTTCTTCCCTCCTTCTCCCTGTCCCGCAGTTATTTATCTAACTTCTTGATTTCTCTTGTACCTCACCCTCACCCCCGTCCCTGCCCCACCCCCATTCCGGTTTTGCCTTTTCCTTGATTCTTTGTCCACCCTTGTGCTGCGGGAGTGGACGGGTCTGAAAGGTGATGCCGGGAGAGGGTCTGAGAAGTTTAAGTGTTAACTGAGAAGGAAGGTTCCAGGGGAACCCTCCTCCCCTCTCTAATGAAGTCAAACCTGCTGGAGTGTGTCGCCCCAAGGGACTGTTGGAAAGATGAGAGAAGGAAATCCATATAAAATGCTTAACCCAGTGTTTGGCTTTAGTGATTGTTCAATAAGTCATAGCTATATGTTATTATTAATATGATACACACTCATTCTTCTGAAATGAATGAGTGTATATGCTTCCCTCTCTGCATAAGGAATTATTTGTGCTGGACCCTTCTTAAGAGGTATCTGTTTCCCTCCCTTCCTCCCTCCCTCCCTGCCTCTGTCTCTCTGCGCTCTCTCTCCCTCTCCCTTTCTGTCTCTCTCTCTCTCTTTCTCTCTCCCCCTTGCTCTCTCTCTCCCTCTCACCCCCCTCCCCTCCAATCTCAGCTCACTGCAATGTCTGCCTCCCAGGGTCAAACAATTCTTGTGCCTCAGCCTCCTGAGTAGCTGAGATAACAGGCGTGCACCACCATGCATGGCTAATTTTTGTATTTTTAGTCGAGATGGGGTTTGCCATGTTGGCTAGGCTGATCTGGAACTCCTGGCTTCAAGCGATCTGCCCACCTTGGCCTCCCAAAGTGTTGGGATTACAGGCGTGAACCACCATGCCCTGCTCATTTATTTCTGATGAATGTCTACCGTAGCATGCTTAAATGATGGAGGAGATGTCATTTCATTTCTCTTTGAGTAACCTAAAATTGAATCAGTTAGTATATGTCACTAATGTATAGCATAGTTATAATCAACTAAAAACTCATAAAGACTTCTAGATGGGCTACTAAGTGAATACATCTTCCTCTATCCCGTGAGGACTTCACTGCAACTTTTACATATTTTGATATTGAAATTCTTCTGAATAGATTTGGCCTCAAATTCCAGCCTGATAAGATAATATAGGCATCTGCCGCTGAAGTCCAATATCAGGTCATTCTTGCTCCACTTCAGGCTTCTCTCAAATTTGGTGATCATGCTCCTCATGTCTTGGATGGCTATGTCAGCAAGTCTGAACCCTTCAATTCATCTCTGTAGACCTGCCTGCCTTGGGTTGCCATACCCATTAGTAGATCCCTTTGGGTAAGAGTTCCCACTAATAATGTTTTTCTCTTGATTTCTTTATCATACCTTGAAACTGACTTTAAACATTTTGTTAAATGCCTTGCTAAAATCCCAACACACTTGTGAACAGATGTTGGTATGATAGAGGAGCGGAAAAAAGGCACAGCCACGATAAGATGTTGGTATGATTAAGTTGGATGAACAGAAAAAAATGTACAGCCAGATCCATTTCCAGAATCAACCAATTTCCACGTTGCTTTCAATCTCATCCCATTATGTTTTCTGTAAGTAAAACTTCCACAGCAAATATTAATCAATGTTAAATCAAAAGTACTGAGGGTCTAGTCACAGGGGCTTAGAGACAAACAAGAGAAGCAGAAAAGTTCTCCCCCTTAGAGTAAGCTAGAGTCTTAGTGTGTCAGACAATTAGGCAACAAAGTAAGACAGTGTATAATTAAATGCTAAATTATGTAGAGAAGATTATGTGCTATGGAATTGAGGAAATGGCTCTCACAACATTTCTAATGTCCTAAATCAGTTTCCAAATGGCTTCATACGTCTATTTGTACTTCACGCATGCTCAGTGTCATTGACCCTTTCCTGCTGTTTTGTAGCAATGATGAAAGTAAACATTTTCTAAGTACCTGCTATAGGTTAGGCAACTGGTCTGAGAACTTTACAGATATCAACTAATTTCATGCTCACTGTATACCTCTGAGATAGATATTCTTCTTTTCTCCATTTTGCAAATGAGGTTACCAAGGCGGAGAGCCTAATACCTGCCCAAAGTGAGCTCTGATAAATTCCTTCCTCTTTTTAATTTGGTGGGTCTGTGGTGAGGGTAGACTAGGAGAGGCATTCTGGAAAGTGAACCTAGATTTTCATCCTGCTTCTTTTAACCTGCTTACCTGTGTAATTAGACCTTGGGCAAGGCACATTATCTTTTAGAGCGTCTGCTTTGTAAAATGGGGCAGGATGGTGTTTTAAGATTTAAGTGCTTCTTATGCAATAGGAGCTCAGAGAATGGGGGCTGCTGTTTATTAAAAATAACGATACGAATATCATTGTCGTATTCTCTACCCAAAGAGACCTGTTGGAATTGGACAGAAAAGAAACATTTCTGTCTTGATAAGTCTTAAAACCCAGTACCAAGTGCAGTATTAGCTGTGAGATATTTGTAGAATGGGTGGATAGAAGGATGGGAGAGGAGAGGGATTGGAAGAATTCCTGTAGCAAGTTGAAGAGGTTCCAACCTCTTCCAATTGAGCTATTTTTAGCCTTACTCATCATTTGCAATCAAAACAAATCCTTTTGTTAGCCTTACTCCTTCCCAACCCTTGCCCCACTACTATTTTTGCTATGGTAATAGTCATTGCCAACTTATTTTGTTTGGAATACACAAACAGAGCTGTCTCTTCCCATCACAGATATTTTAACAGTAAAAACCCACTGCATCACTTACCTCTGCCTTGTATTCCAGACAATAGTAAAGGACATTGTAACATCACTGTGTCAGCGCAAACAAAGAACTATGTAATTTTATCCCATATTAATACAGTGTTGCACAGAAGGTATTATCATTAGATGGCAATCTATAAAAATGGCCCCTGAGACCAAGCACTGGCACAATTATTTATTCTTCAATTATTTATTCAGTCCTAAGGATGGAAATGCTGACAGACACTGCAAAATGCTCTACCTACCAATTTACAGAAATTGAATGACGGAATCATTTGTGGACTGAAGTAGCTTTTTATTGACCCTATTTTGATTTATTTAAATTCTCACTTTCACAGCTTAACTATGTTTACTACATGCAGTTACATGATAGAAATGAGAGGCTGTTTTGTTCATAAAAGCTACTTCAAAACAAATAATATTTATTCTGAAAGGGTCAGATCACAAATGGAGGCTTGAAAATGGCCTCAGGAGCATTCAAATTGCATCCTTACTATTTCATATGATTTTATATTTAGATTGGCTATTTTATGTAAAGTCTTTTTCCCTTTTAGTACTTAGACCTCTTGATATCCCTTTTGTAGCCAGGATGGAGGGAATAGTCACACATAACTTCCATTTGCAGTAAGTAATTGCAACTTAATTTATGTCTGGGGAGATTTCCAGAAGGTTCCTGCTCCTGTCTCTTTCTTCTCAACTTAATTGTATTGATAGGTGCTATTCTTGTGATTCCAGTATATTATTTGTACATGATAAAATGCAGTTCCCATTAATTCACACTTAGCAGTCATAAAAGAATTTGTTTGGTCTTAACTCCTAAAGTTTACAAGATTATTTACATTTGTATTAATACTGGAGTTCAAAAAATATGGCTTTCTTTAGAGATCAGTTTCAATTTTCCCTAAATCAGTTATTTTTAGTTTTGATTAATTAAATTCGGGTGAGATACAATTTATCTCACCTTCTGATATTTTTAAAAGAGAAGTAATTTTATTTACATTAACTTTAAAATATTTTTATGCCAAACACTAGTTATTTTGAGGGGACTGAAACAAATCATTGCAGAGATAGGGAACTTTCAATATTTTGGGAGATTATTTTTTAAAATAACTATGTTTACTCCAGGTAGGTATGTATATGCATGCATTCACTTGTGATATGCACATACACACAGAAATTTATGATGTCCTTTAAGAATCTTGGGACTATCAGAAAAAAAGTAAAGTGAAATAATAATTTTCAAAACTATATTTTTGTAGTAAAAATGCACTGTCAGTGTTACATTACTGTATAAATCAAATTTGCTGAAGTTTATAAACATTTTTATGACTACTTTAAACTTGGACATAATCAGATATATCTGCTGTTGACAACATGGCTCTCAATATAAAAATGATCACCTTTTTTGCTTAAAGCCTCATTCTCAGAAGTAAAATGTGTATGTGAGGATATTAACTAGTTCACAGGATTGTCGTAGAAAGTCTATGACATATTTCGATACTGAAATTCTTATGGCCTGGATCAGTGGCCTGGATCATAGCTAAACTTTATGAAAAGATCATTTTATTATTACATTATTACTACAGGTAGGCTTTCACCCTGGGTGTTACACGAATCCTCTGATTGTACTGTCCATGATGTCCAACAGTTGATTTAAAACAACAACAACAACAAAAACAAAAACCCAAGCCAATGCCTGCGACAGTGCTGCAAGTATCTTTTAACCTGTGGTGTGAAGTTATTTCTGAAGGTGAAGTTTGCCATTCAAATACCATTTCCTGGTGTTCAGTTGATTTCTGTAACACCTCTTTTTCTGTCTCCACTAGCCCTAGATCTGTAGTCCCTCTAAACATGCTACCTACCACTTACACTTTGCCAAAGTGTAGTTTTTGCTCTCTTATCTGCTTTATAAGAGAATGTTTTTAGTTTCATGATTTGTAAGTGGAAGGGGGTGCTTAGCAGGAGTTCTGAGGTCACCAGCCCAGGGAGGAGGAAGTGGAATCAGAATAACCAGACAGGAATAGAGGGGGTACTGGACTGATGTGCATTGTGGGAGGGTGATATTAGCGACTCATGCTGCTAGGGCGAGGCCCTTCTTTGATTCTGTTTATAGAAATTTAAACTAAAAGTGACAGGTTGTTGCCTCTCTTTGTGTAAAATGTTACAGGTGGGAAGTGAACCTGTGCTACAAAATACTGATCAAGACAAGTCATGGGCAAGTGCAAAGAGCTAAGTGGTTTCCTTCCATACACTAGTATGTCCTTCTCAGCCTTTCTTGTTATGTCATACGACTTGCTTCCTCTAGCTAGTCCAAGCTTTGTTTGTATAAATAAGAACTGCCATTTAATGAACGCTTGCTATGAACCAGACACTGTGCTAGAAGGGGGTATAGGTACTCCAGGGGAATGTCCTCTCCAGCAGCTTAGCTTGTTCATGTGACAGTAGTGTCCCAAAAGGTCAATAGTAGAAGCTCTAAGTCTTCTTGTAGCTTAGACTTGGACCGAATAAATAACAATAGTAACACAACATCAACGGTAATAATAACAATGAAAACAGCCCTTCTAGGAAATTTGAGGAAAATCTCTTGTATATTAAATATAAAAAAATTTGTCATTAAAGAGTACTTTACAATTTGTTTTGAGTGTTGTCCATCAGGCATGTGCACTTGGAATATGTTTTTTTTGTAATATATTTTGCCACCTAAAAATAGGAAGTACATATCCATATTTAGGTGTTAAGCAAGTTTTTCACTCCTGGTTTCTATTTGTCTTGAATGTTACTGCCTTAGCCACACTATTTAGCATGGGGATTTTAAAAAAATGGTGTGCATATTCTCATTTATGAGTGGGAGCTGAACAATGAGAATTCATGGACGTAGGGAGGGGAACAACACACACACTGGGGCTTGTTCGGGGGAGGGCAGGGTCAGGAGAGCGTCAGGGAAAAGAGCTAACGCATGGTGGGCTAATGCCTAGGTGATGGGTTGATAGGTGCAGCAAACCACCATGGCACATGTTTACCTATGTAACAAACCTGTACATCCTGCACATGCACCCCAGAACTTAAGCAAAAACTGGTGTGATCTTTCTGTAAGACAGGATTTTAAAAGCCTGTCTACATTTCTGAGTTTTCTTTCAAGGTGCCAAGAAGAGGCTGAGCACATTGTTTGAAGAATTGTTAAGGACTTGAACTTTAGAGTCTGCCAGACTTGAATTCTAGGCTCAGCTCTGGCACTGTAAGCTCTGTGGACACACGACTCTCCCGAACCAACCTGCTTATCAGCAAAAAGGAGAATAATAACATTTTCCATTGAAAGGTGCTACGAAGATTAAATGAAAGTGTTTTTCTAAAGCTCTAGATATATAGCGGGTCCCCGTCTCAGGTAATCAGAAAGTTGGAGTTGCAGTTGTTGTTACCGTTACTAATATTGCAAGTGCTCTGAAAACATGCCACCATGGTTACTTCTCGTAGATGGTGACTTAAGCTTATCTTCCACCTTGGGAAAATAAATGATTTATTGTCCTTTAATAGCTGTCACTGTTAAATGTCACTCTGTTGGTCCAGCCCTGCAAAGCTTACAGTATGGGGCTTATGAATCATGAATCAACACAAATGTCAGCAAGCTAAAAGAGAGTTAGCAGAAGTAGCCTATGTTAAGATTAGGTTTCTGATTTAATGCACAGTTTCTAAAAACCAAGTAGCATGTAACTGGTCTTATCCTTGCTGAGATAACATCTCCGGATAGTTGCTTTAATAGTTGGGGGAGGATAATTCTTGCAACTTCCGATTAGTATTGACTTGACCGCTGCATTGATCTAGGATGAAACCCCTTTGTGTTGGTCTGACTTCCTCAGCTATGATGTGTATAGTCTAGTTTAAAGCTAGGCTCTGTTATGTACTATGTCCATCTTGGAAAGTTCATTGGACAGGGAACAGAACAGTGGCTCTCTCAAGCAGTCAGCCAGCCAGTGAACAGTATAGCGCCGTCTTCCATCCAGCCCTGTGTTCCTTCCCCTCATTCTTCTGTTATTTCACACCACATTCTTCCTTCAGCTAGTCCAAGCTATGTCTGTGTACGTAAGAACTGTAGTTTAATGAACACTTGCTGTGAGCCAGAAATAGTGTTGGAGGTGGTGTCGGTACTCCAGGGGGAAGACCTATCCAGCTCAGGTGTGTTCAAATGGCAACAGTACCCCAAGATGACAATATTAAAAAATGCCAGGCTTCTTGAAGTTTAGACTTGAGAGTCTCCCAGTGTCATTTCTACTGCATTATTTTGGTTAAATCAAGCTACCTAGCTAAACCTGGAGTCAATGAGAGAGAGTAATTAGGGGAGGATAATTCTTGCAACTTCCAATTAGTATTGACTTGACCACTGCTTTGATCTAGGATGAAACCCATTTGTGTTGGTCTGATTTCCTCAGCTATGGTGTGTATCGTCTAGTTTAAAGCTAGGCTCTGTTATGTACTATGACTATTCTAGGAAGTTCATTGGACGAGGAACAAAACAGTGGCTCTCTCAAGCAGTCAGTCAGTGACACAGTCAACAGTGTGCGTTTAGGGAGAGAGTTGTGGCCATGTTGCAAACAATCTACCGGAGACTTAGAGGCAGCAGCTGTCTTTTCCCCATTTGACTTCATCGTTCATGAACAGACATTTGTCAAGCACATATTGGGTAGCAGAACATCTATAATATTAGGTTTTAATTTTTTTAAAAACTTTTATTTCCAGAAAAGTTAGCTTTATCTGCAAACTCTGCAAACAGTTGACCCTTCAACAATGTGGACGTTAGGGGGTGCTGACCCTTTGTGAAGCTGAAAATCCATGTATAATTTTTGACTCCCCAAAAATTTAACTATGAATAGCCTATTGTTCACTGGACATGTTGCTGATGACATAAACGGTTAACTAACACATATTTGTTTGTTATATATATTATATGCTGTATTCTTACAATAGGGGAGCCCGGCACTGTGGTTCACATGTAATTTGGGAGGCCGAGTCGGATGGATCCCCTGAGGTCAGGAGTTTGAGACCAGTCTGGCCAACAGCAAAACACCATCTCTACTAAAAATACAAAGATTAGCTGGGCATGGTGGCACATGCCTGTAATCCCAGCTACTCAGGAGGCTGAGGCAGGAGAATTGCTTGAACCTGGGAGATTGAATTTATAGCAAGCTCAAGTTGCATTACTGCACTCCAGTCTGGGCCACAGAGTGAGACTCCGTCTCAATAAATAAATAAATAAATGAACAAACAAACAAAAGTATGTAGCTCTGGTCTTATTAAGTATATAATGTTTGTCTCCATGCAATAATAATAATGTAAGATCTGAAATGTTAATACTTCAAGTAAAACCAACAGCAAAACAGTTTCCTGAATTTGTCTATGATCTCACCGGAGAGTCTAGTCATAAACCGAAGGCAAGGACATGTAGCTAATATCACAGTGGAGTTTGCAAGAGGATTTTTAGTTTGTCACGCTTAAACAGAACCCTCAGTATTCTCACAGAGAACTGAAGCAATTGACTTTCAAGACTAACAAGAGCATCTGCATGCATGTGGCAGGCATGTTGGCGAATGTTGTGAAATTGGTGGTCCCATCAATTGTCGTGCTTCAACTGTCCAGACTAGGATTGTGTGATGAGAAGTTGGCACTTCAGCAAAGCTTAGGAAAATGCCTCCTCTGCTTTTGTGGGAGGTGGAAAAATAACTAAGTAGCTGCTTTCAGTGAACACTGCAAGCCTTGTTCAAGTGTACACCTTTCATACAAAACTCCTAGATGAATGGCAGTGGAAAATACGGGTTTGTGATAACTTTGAATGATGTGTGATTGCCTTGATTAGCACTATAGTTACTAAGTTGATATGCACTTCTTTGTTTTAAAAGAGAACTTGAATTTTTTTTTTACTATAACTGCCAGTTGCTTAATTTCTACCACTTTTAGTCGATTTTTTTTTAAAAAAATGAATTTCTACCTAATCTGTACTTGTCAGTGATGACAAGTTTTAAAAGTAACTCAAGTTAAAAAAAATTCTCTAGAAACCATCATCTGTCAAAAAGTTTGCATTTAATTCTTTCTTTCAGATAGAAATGAGACATTTTCTCCTTCTGCTTTCGAGAATTGCACCCTTAATGTTCCAGAAAGCTGGGCATCCCTATTATTTTGAGTTTAGGATTTTATAGTGACCTAGACATAGTTATGAGGTGTTTCAGGGAAATGAAGGGAAGACTGAGTAACAAAGACACGTTAAGCAGAATAAATTCTATGTCTTGTTTTTGGCAACTAGTTAGCATACAGTTTGCTTGTTTTCTTCAGTCCACATATAGAACTATTCTGTCTGAAACAGTGATCCAATTAGGCTAGTTTCCTGTTTAAAAGCTTTCTGGACCTTCCATTTTCCTGTTGGCAAAAACCCAAGCTTTGAGACATAGTTCTTTCTAAACTGGCCCTAATTATTCTTCGCAGGTCATCTTTACTGCCACTATTGTTCCTCGTGAATGTCTCACCTCTCTGAGCTGTTAACATATGATTCCTTCTGCTTTGAATGGCCTGACAATCCCATCCTTTTCACAAGTCGGTGATAATCTTTTCAGTCATGTAGACTTAGAAGGAGTACTCTCACTCTGTGGAGTCTTGAGATATTGTCCGTC